GAAAAATTCAAAACAGAAATAATTTCCCAGATAACCATAGAGATAGTGAGCAAAATGGAAGTCGTGATTCGAGACTCTAGAGCAGAAACTGACAGAAAAATAGGTGAGCTCAGGACCATGATAGAAGCCATGAAGGCCCAGCATAAGAAAGAAATGGAAAAAATAAACTCTCAACATAGGAAAGAAAGGGAATCCATAAAACAGATTCAAACAGATATCCAGGAGATTAAACACTCTATTGAAAGTGTACGCAACAGAATAAAAGAATGCGAAGATAGACTCTCAGATATAGAAGATAAGATTGCAGTCAGTGACCATGAAAAGAGAGGTCTCTTAAAAACAGTAAGAGATCATGAGAAATTGATCCAACAACTCCTAGATGATGCAAAGAAGAATAACGTAAGACTGATAGGAATACATGAAGTAGCAGGAGAAAATATAAAGGACTTTAAAAAGCTGTTCGCAGAATTAATGACAGAAAACTTCCCAAACAGAGGGGAAGAATTTGACATTCAGACAACTGAGGAATATAGGACCCCAACTAGCTACAATAAAAAAAAGTCTACACCTAGACATATAATAATCAAGATTCCAGAAACCCAACAGAAGAACAAAATACTACAAGCAGTAAGAGAAAAGAAACAAATCACATATAAAGGAAAGCCCATCAGAATCACAGCAGACTTTTCAACACAAACCCTTGGGGCAAGGACAGCCTGGAATGAGATATTTCAAGTACTAAAAGAGAACAACCTCTAACCTAAACTGATGTATCCAGCAAAACTCTCTTTCAAAATGGAGGGGGAAATAAGACACTTCCACAACAAAGAACACCTGAGAAACTACATGAATACCAAACCAGCACTACAAGCAATTCTAAACAAGATCCTAAAAAAAGACAATAAAGGCAACAACGCCATGAGACCCAACAGAGCAAATCAAATAGGCAAGGCAAGAAATTGAAAGAAGGTGAAAAAGTAAAAAGAGTCAACGAAAGGCCAATAACATGTCAATAATAAGTCAGTACATATCAGTTATAACCAGCAATGTCAATGGCCTCAACTCACCAATCAAGAGAAATAGACTGGCAAAATGGAATAAGAAGCAAAATCCAACA